TGGGGCTGCTGGGCTTACAGGGAGGGTGTTGTGGGGAACGGGGAGTACTGGTGTAGGTGGTGGTGGCATTGGGAAGAGGAGTCTTGGGGAGAATGGGAGTACGGGGACAGCGCTGGAGAGTGGAGGGGCCGATATGCCTGGGGGACTGGGAGCAGGAACTGGTGACACTGGTGTTGGGCTGGAGAGAAGGATGCTTGGGGTGTTAGGATTGGGAGGAGCGTGCTGGAGACTGCTGGGGTGCATGTAGCAGGAGCTGGTGATGCTGGGCATGGAGGTGGTAGGACTGGAGGTATGGGGACTTGGGGAAGGCAGGTGTTGAGGGTAATGGAGGTTGTGGAAGTCAGAGAATGTGGGGGTGTTGGGGGTGCTGTGATTGGGGTGCTTGTAGCAGAAGTGGGGAATACTGGAGATGAGCAGGGAGTGCCCCTCTGGTTGCTCTAGGAGACTGGGAATAGTGGATGTATTGAGGTTGTGGAGGCTGGGTGTACTGGGAATGCTGAGGCTGAAGATATTGGGGAAGGCCTGTGGGCTGGGCCTGGCAGGTAGGCTTACCCCCAACTCCCTCATTGTTCCCTCCCCAGATTGCGAAGGAGGTGGCAAAACTGCTGGAGATGAAGGCACAGCTGGGGGGAGATGAGGGGAAACACAAATTTGTGCTCAAGACCCCAAAGGTAACTTGCCCCAGCACATGCACTCGCATGCCTCTCTGTGTGCACGACCTACTCCCACGCACACACACAGCACCCCTCCACGCCCCTGTGCGTGCAGAATCTCAGCGCAGACTTGTCTTTCTTTGTTCTCATTTTTGTTTTCCTTTTTGCTTTTAGCAGCAAGGGAGAAGTGAAAACATCTCTCACAGCATCCAACCCACATACCCTACTAACTTAAAGACTTTCTGATGCTTCTGTGATAATCCAACCACTAACTGGTGGTCAGGAAATTAAATTGCTTTTTGCTCAAGCTTTATCGTAGCAGTGCAGTATAGAGCTCTCGTACATGCTTGGATTGCACAATTTGAAGTAAAGTCATTATTTGCATTGCCCTGATGAGTTTAGGGCTAGGAGTAGTAGTAGTTTAGTGCTACAGCTTTTGTGGCACTGACCTCACTAGTACCTGCAGACATTGTCTCTCACAAACCAAGGATCCCCAAGCAGGTCCTGTTCCATGTTAATCTGTACAGAGCTTCTGGTAGGTTGGGTGAGCGTGGGGTGCTGTGAAGTGCAGCTCTGCTGGTGCGAGGCACGTTGTGGGGGAACTGCAAAGCGTTAAGTCAGCCAAAGAAACCCAGATGTCTGGCAGTGTTTGCCAGGGATGTTCAGTGCATGTTGAAATGTGGGGAGCAAGAAAGGTCTCATGGCTTTTGGTCTTGCCTTAGTCTGTGGGGGTGGGTAATCCCATTTACTGAGCAGGTCTGGCCAGCTGCTGATGTTCTGTGTCCTCCTGCAGAAGGACCTTTCCTCCTGGGGTATCTTTTCTCAGGGGCCTGGAGACTCAATAGTGTCTAAAATGCAATTTATGCTGAAATTTTTTGTAATGTGAATGTTTCAGCACTAGCAGTTGACCAGAGACCAACTGAGACAGTTATGAATGTTGCTCATGAACGAAACAGGTTATGCTAATGCCACTGACTTAGGAAATGCCTCAAAACCACCTTCCTTGTCCATTTCCTTTATCATATGTTTTGGTAAATGTAACTGTGGTGTGAGAACTGGAAAATGGGAGCGTATTTCACTGTTTAAAGATGCGGAGAGGGGATTTTGCAGCTCTATGAGTGCCAGGGAAACACAGCTTGGGTGTCCAGCCTGTCTCAGCCACGTCAGTGTACTGCTGAAAGCTGCTTTTTGCTGTGCGACCTGCAGGTGGAGTGTTACCAAGTGCCTGCTCTCTCTGCTTCCTCCTGCCTAACTGCCAGTCCCTAGAAAATGGAAGTGGGAGGTCTAGTTAATTAACTGATTTATGTGTTGCCAAGAGCCTAAACACGGTCATCGAAATAATTCGGTGACTCAACAGTGAAAATATTAAAAGGGAGCACATCCCAGTGAACAGTAGATGGGCACTTCACAGCTATCGCACTTTGAAAAGATGATTTCTTTCTATGTGTGTTCGGAAATTGTAGAGCTGCTGGCTGTTCCACAGCTTCAAAGTGTGCCTGTCCTCTGATTCCACCTCTCAGGGTGGCTTGTTGTGCAGGGGTCTGGCTAATACGTCTGAATCAGAGCTGTGGACAGATCCTAGCTGCACTGTCATGTTCAAAAGCGCTGAACTCTTTGACTGTTGGATCTGTGTTAGATCCTTTTCTTGCATTGTGAAACTCACTTAGATTTAGCTCTGCTGACGATGGTAGATCATGTCTGAGCTGTGTCCTGATGTTTTCCTGGGTTTTTTTGCTGCCGCTTTTTACCACCTCTCCTGATACCTGGTGTCTGGACCTGATCTCTCTGGTTTTGTTAGCAGTATGGTAGCATCTTCACATTGCCTCTCACATCTGTCTCCACTGCGTGCCTCTAACCCAATGCCTCCTCTGCTCTTTTCCTTACCTCACCCCAGGGCACGCGGGACTACAGCCCCAAGCAAATGGCCATTCGTGAGAGTGTCTTTAATGCGATCATCACCTGCTTCAAGCGCCATGGAGCAGAAGTCATTGATACGCCAGTGTTCGAGCTGAAGGTGAGTGAAGACACAGAAAGTTGGCTGAGCTGATGAGGATTCTGCAGTTGAAAGCTTGTGATGTGTTGAGGGCTGAGTTTTCTTCTTCCACCTCCTAGGTGTCCCTTCTTTCTTTCCTTGTTTTCTGTGTGCTCTAGGGCTGATCCCCTGTCACTGAAGATGCTGTTTTTTGGTGTGTCCTTTTGTTGTAGGAGACGCTGACAGGGAAATATGGTGAAGACTCAAAGCTCATTTACGATCTGAAAGATCAAGGAGGAGAGCTGCTGTCCCTGCGCTACGACCTGACAGTATCCTGCCACAGCCAATGCTGAGAGGTCTTGTCACCTTCGCTGCCCTCCTTTGGGGGCAGTGCTGTCCAGAGGGCAAGGGAGGAGGAGGGAGCACAGTGTCTTTGCCCTGTCTCCATACCGACAGGGAGAGCATGAGCAGGCAGTGTGGCTCAGTGAGTGCAGAACTGTTGCTCAGTAATTTACTGTACACTGCTTCTGTTCAGCAAAGTAACACTTGTACGTGGAGGTAAGGCAGATCTGTAGTGAGTGGGGTTTCTCCTACAGCAGGGTACCCAAACTAGGCTGCTGCTGTACACAGGCCACGTGGAACTGAGATGCAACCTAAGGTGGCTCTGGGAGATGCCTGTAGGGACACCTAATGGCAGCATGTGTGGGCTGTGTCTTGGACAGTTGTGGAGATCTTGGGGAGCTGTGGCAAGTCCAGCCATCTCTTAGCAGTTGCTTTGCCCCACGGGTGTGTGCCACACTGTGCTGCATGTTGGGGAGATAGTGAGGACCCAGCACTGCCTGTGACTGATAACTGGGGTGATCCCTCCCTGTTCCCATCCTTAACCCTACCATTTCAGGTGCCGTTCGCTCGCTATTTGGCAATGAACAAGATCACCAACATTAAGCGCTACCACATCGCTAAGGTGTACAGGCGGGACAACCCGGCCATGACCAGGGGCCGCTACAGGGAGTTCTACCAGTGTGTGAGTTTGGCCATTGACGGGGATGGTGCTGAGTGAGGCTGTAGGCTGGGCAGCACTTGTGGGGACGTAGCACTATAAAAATGTAGGACCAAAGACTGTGTTACCTTGCAGTGGCCTTCCCTGTGGCTGTGGAAAGCTCAGGAGGATCCACGGATCTTCTCCTTAGTGTGCCCTTATTATGGGTGTGAAAAACAGCTTGAGACTGAGGATGAGGGCAGTGACACAGGGTGCTGATGTATCAGGGAACTTTGCAATACAGCCCCCAGGTGCCCCAGGTATCTGGCCTGCTTTGCACTGTGGAGGGCAACTCCTTGCTCCATCCCACAGTGCTTGCCAGCCTAGTGGATGGGGAGAATTTCCTTCTGATCCCAAATCTGGCAACAGTTGAACTCCTGGGTGTGTTAGCAGGACACATGAACCAGGCGAGCAAGTGACTCAGCCATTGCATATGCTACTTGTGTCCCGTGCTTAGTCAATCTTTATTTTAAAGGAAGGGAAAAACCCAGAGGCCAAATTATAGAACAGGTAAGAGCAATTTCCTTTGTGGCTTTCTCAGATGAGTGTGGTAGCCCCAAGGAATGGCTTTCTTCCACTGTACTAACACAGTCCCCAGGGCCTCATATTGCAAACAGATTTCTGTTTGATAATATCCCCATTTCATCATACAACCCTTGTGGATACCTTCCAGCTCCAGCATGGTGAATTCCCATTTCCAGACAACCTGGGGTCTTTTCCTACTGTCTGATCTGAAACACTCTTCCAAGAACTCACTCCTAGGATAGCTGGAAATAGTCTTCTAATATCCAGGCTAAACTTACTTCTGTCTGATAGTTAACTTGTGCCAGTGCAGCTCTTTAAATGGTAGCTGTCATCCCTTGATGTGGATTCTTCCCCTTTTCCAGAGAAGTATTTGGGAGATGTTTAGAGAAATCTTCCCCTCCTTAGGCCATGTAAATCAAGCTCTGTTACCTTCTCTCCCTGGAGATGCTTTGCTGCTTTGCTCAGCCTAGTAGCTTTTTCTGCATCTTTTCTTAAATAAAATTCATCAGCCCTTGGTTGGGTTGTTTTTTCAGTGAGATTTCACCTGTGCCACATACAGTGGTAGCAGCACTTTTCCTGACTGTACCACACCTTGCCCAACTTCCATGGGGATTGCATCAGCCTTTCTTGCACTCAGCTGATCAGGGATCTTTCCCCCTACATTGTCCCAATTTATTTTGGAAGCTTGGTGAAGCCATGTTTAAATTTATCCACTTAATTAAAATTATTCTTGTACTCAAAATCTCGTTGAAGACTTTGCATTTGGGCATTCATAAATAGAAGTTGAATAAGAGGTCTCTTGTTTCTGTGTTTTATTTCTCTCTGAACATTGATGTTGTCTTTGCTGTTTTCCAGTCATGGGCAAAATATCACAGCCTGTTAAAACATCTTGCTGTTGGGCTTTAGTTCTGTGTGCTAGTTCATCTGGTAATCTCTGGTGGAGACAACTCAGACTTTCTGATTACTTTTTCTGTCTTGAAACTTTGGTTTTGCCTCAGTTGAGGTTGCTTCTCTTGTCTTCTTCTGTGATCATTAACTTGATTGGCATGTGTATTAAAAAAAGAACATCCTAAAAATCAAGGCAAAGCATTTGGCATTTAGGTCATATCAAATAATAAGTAGTTTTTTCCTCCCCTTCCTGATTCCTTTGTTCTATTTATTTACTGCTGACGATTGCTCTACTGTCTCCTTTTTGTTGTTTTTCAAGGATCTCTGTTTCAAAGTGTATGACACAGTAAACTGCCATGTCAGAGGCAGGGAGCAGGTCACACACCTCCAGAAGCAGAAAGCAGGGAGAAGCAGAAAGGCTTCTCACAAACTCCACTGGGCACAACACAGTATACAAACCCTTTGCAATGCAGTGGACACGAGAGCACTGCTGCCTTTGATGAAGGAGGGTCATAACCCACATCCTGTCCATTCTGGATCCTATTGGCGAGGGCTAGTGCTCCCTTCTGTCCCATTTCTGTGGCTTTTTGTAAACAAACTGCTGTTAACAGCAGAGTTGAAGCTGTATTGCTGCAGCCAGGCCGGTGGTGTGGAATTGCTTTACTGCCTTTTCCTGTGTCTCAGGATTTTGACATTGCTGGGCAGTTCGACCTGATGATTCCTGATGCAGAGTGCCTGAAGATTGTGCACGAGATCCTGAGTGACCTGCAGCTTGGGGACTTTCTCATTAAGGTGAGACTGGGCGGGTTTCTCTGTGCCATGGTGGGAAGCTATGGTGGTTGTTCCTGTGGTTTTACGCCGCAGCATCTGTTCCTGCTCTAATGCCCACTAAGGTCTAATCCAGAAGTTCATCCTGCCTCTCTGACTTCTCATGATATATATGCTAAAAGGCTGGACCTTAGCTCAGGCTTGCCTTTAGCTGGGAATGCAAGGTTTCCTGAGGCTGCAGTTAGCAGAGTTCTCTCTAGCACTAACCAGAGTTCCCTGCAAAATGTCCAGCAGCCAACTAGCCAGGTGACTCTAATGTTCACTGCCTGCAGTAGAACACAGGCTCTGGCCCAGGATCCCTGTCCTTGTCCCAGCTCTCGATGACACCTTAGTAGGGACATCTGCTCAGTGTGTGTGCTGTGTTGTCTGCAGACTCATGCCTTTCCACCAAGGCTGAGGCCTCTTCCAGAAGAAGAGTCGTGCCCTACTGCAGGTTGAGCTTCCTATTTGCTTCAAAACACTTTTGTTATCTTGGTGTGGCAGCAAATGGTGCTGGGTGTGCAGGTCAGGCAGGATGGGGAAGTACAGCAGTCGGAGAGCAATGGGTAGGAGTGCCTGATGTGCAGGAGGGTGGTGGGATCTCCGAGAGGGACCCAGAACTGGGTCATTGTTGGGCTCTGCAGGGGAGGTGAGCAGTGCGGGATGGGTGTTGTGCTCCTATGTGCAGCCCCTACTGGGCAGGGGGCAATTACCTGCCCTTGAACCTGTCTGGGATGAGCTGAAGAGCTGTGTGTAGGAACTGCCTGCCCCGCTACTGTGTGTTTGGGCAGTGGTGAGAGCAGATGCCTTTGAGGATGAGAAGGCACCCCTGCAATAGGGAACAGCAAAATAACCTGCCTGCAGTTATTCTTGTCTCCCATGAGCCACTGTCTGGTTCATGTTGATGCTGGAGGATTACAAACTCCCAAGCAGTCTTTGTTTTTGTCTAATTTAATTGTAGATGTTCTCACTACCCATGGAAATGTTGAATCCAGCTGAGCCTTTGGCCTCAATTACCTACTATTACAGAGCATAATTAAACTGTGGAATTCACTATACTATAAAAATACGCAACAATGAATTCACCTCCTTAGTCTGTTCCTGAGCTGTTTATGTGTCCACATGAGAGGACTCATAGGCCCTGTTGGTTTTTCTTTGTTGAGTGAAGGTGTCCGTGGCTGTAGAAGGAGAAAGTGATCGCTTTACCCAGGCTTGGTAGGAGTCAGTTGTGCTAGCTGGCCTGCTGTGGGCAGAGAGGCAGCTTAGCTTCTCAGGAATGGGAAAGAGACAGAAATTGCAAACGGTGAAAAATCTTTGCAGATATCTGCTAGTTTCTCTTCCATGCTTAAAACTAGAGAGGCGAGAAATCGGACACAGCTGAAGCATCTGTTTGAGTTCATAGTTAATGACTTGCTCCCTGTCCCTCAGGTGAACGATCGGCGCATCCTTGATGGGATGTTTGCAGTTTGTGGTGTCCCAGACAGCAAGTTCCGAACGATCTGCTCCAGCGTTGACAAACTGGATAAGGTACGGGCTGGAGCCCTGTGCTGCAACTGCCACTGCTGGAGTTTCAGTGAGTCTCTGTCCCTCTGGGCTGCTCTTACCACGGTCCATGAGAACTGGCTGGAAACTGCTGACAAACATCAAGTTGTCCTTGTTCCCCCCTTTCTCTGGAGGGGAGGCACATAGGGCACAACAGTCACACAGGAAAACTGGATCCTATGCTTTCTCCTCCAGTATCCCATGAGGTCCTGACAAATGGAAAGGAGGGAGGGAAAAATGCTCTTCATGTGGGAGATTCAACATCCCAAACCTTAGCCTTCTTAAGGTGCTGCTGTTTATGAACCAGGATCATGAAAACTTGTCCCCAGACTGGGCCAGGGCATTGAAAAGCCTTTTCAAATGCATCAGGTTCAGTCAGGTGGTGTAAGGGGAATCACAGGTGTTTCCTAGGTGTCTCCTAGAATCGTAGAACAGCTCAGATTGGAAGGGATCTTGAAAGATCATCCAGTCCAATCTTTACTAAAATTTCAGACTTCAGCTGCAAGGTGAGCATGTCATAAACGGTAAATCTCTGTGGTAATGCAGGAGTAGAGAAGCACAATCATACGTGATAGTCTGTAATCATAGTCTGTACGGCAGTAAGTTTGCAGGTGATGGGTCCAAGTTAAATGGAAATCCGCAGGTGCGTAGGCTGCCAGAGTTGTGTTTTCCAGAACCCTATTCATAAATGCTGTCCTGCCAGCTGGTGGTGTTCTTGATTGGCGATGTGATGTCTAGCATCCCTGCTGAGGACACGGGGTCCGCAGCATGTGCACGTTGTTGGCCAGGCTGTTTCAGCATGATCAGGGCACCACTGGACAGCGTGCGTCTCTGGCTGTTTGTGGGACCCTCAGGAGGTGGTGAGGAGCAGCAGGGAGACAGCAAAGAAAAGTGAGGTGGTCATCTATGGATGAGGTTTCTATATTTTACCTGGAAATAGAGAAAAGGATTTGGAGTGACAAGGAGTAAAAGATCAGAAACGCAGACCTGAAGAATCACCCCAGCAGCACATTCCTGCTTCCTGGGCAAGGGAAGGCTGGTCTGTTTGGTGTTGCACTGCACTATGTGCTCCCACAGGATGTCTTCACAGTCATTTGTGCCTGCCATCAGTGCATGTTTTGCTAGGAACAAGGATCCTTGGGGCTGGCCTGGACTGTGCAGCACTCTTAGGGCGGACACGGTCACAGGGACAACGTGTTCCTTGGTGCCATAATTCTCCTTCCTGGTGCTGTGGGATGGTGGTAGTCCGTCCCATGTCTCCTGGTCACTTTATTCACACCTCTGCTGATCTGGACATGTAGCACAGGTACTTCTATAAAACATGCTGTGTGTAGACATCACCATTTGTATGGCTTATTCAGGTTTGGCGTGACACAGAACAGCCCCTTCTATGTGCAGCTGCTCCTATAAGACACAAGGCAGGAGGCACCCAAAGGTTTGTGCTTAGCAAGCTGCCTCAAGAACATTGGCTGCTGTGATGATCTCTGAGGGATTCAGGCCCTTATGCAGCCCTTTGGGAGGAGGGAAAAGTGCCAGTGTAGGTACAGCTTTTTATTTGCAGCTGATTGTCTTGACTGTGGGCCTAGTCAGGTATAAAGATGCTGGAGACCAGTCTATAAATGTGTATACAGTCCTCCACTAATAGCTAAGGAAGAAGAACCTTAAAATGAAGTGACATCTAAAAACTCAGTTTTCTTGGTGCAGGATCCAAAGTAGAATTTGGAGGTGAATTTCTGTGTGTGTTCAGTCTCATGTGGGAGACACTGTCGGCTGGCTGCTTAAATAAGTGCTCGTAAACTTCCTGTGAAACCTGTTAAGCAGCCTTGTATCTCATCTCGTGTATTCACATTGCTTTGTTCAAGGATGAACTGTGTTTTCCGTTGGAGGCCTCATCTGATGGTCAAATGAAGACAACTAGAGGAAGGCTCACTTAAAGTCCTGTTAGTAGTGAGATCTATTGCAAACCTAAGGGTTTGGGGCTGTGTATGCATGGAAAAGCAATAGGAAGGGAGGATTGGGCTTTTTTAGGATGGGATAATTTCCTTGTTGTCTTACTGAAATGCTGTGATTTATCTCAGTGCAGATGGATGTGGTTAAGACTCTGGTTCTCTCTGACCCCTTGGTCAGTGGGAAAACTGCAGTGTATTCTGCTTACATCGGGTTTTTGCACCACCCAGCCATCTTCTCACACCTTTCCAGGTGGTAGGCATGACCAGCAACACTTTCTTGACTGATGTTTATGACTAAGTACCTATCCAGGGAAACCACAGCAGCAAGACATCTCTCAAACTTGGTGCTTTTACAGTACCGGTGTTCGATTCCGGCCAGAAATCAAAACCAAAGTATTTGTCCTAGGGCTTCAAGTTTTTGGTCAGCTTTTGCTGACTGCAGGGTTGGGATACAAAGAGACTGTGCAGAGATACAAGAAATGGAGTTATGACCATGCTCTGAGAGCATTTGATTTGCTGCTTCTCTCATGCACCTCTTAACCACACTGACACTGATGGGGTTCTGCCGTGTAAAGATCCGTTGAGGGCAGATATGTCGGTTCATCTGTATTGGGCAGGACCACCAGAGACCTTCCCCAGGAGAGACCACATCCCTGGAGCAGTGGCTGATGTTGTTCTCTCTGCTCGCAGATGCCATGGGAAGAAGTGAGGACTGAGATGGTAGGAGAGAAGGGGCTCTCTCCCGAGGCTGCGGATCGCATCGGGGAGTATGTCCAGCTGCACGGTGAGCACCGTGAGGTCAAGCCCTTGGCCTTGTTCTTCCAGGCCAGCAACGGAGGGGTGCAAGGCACATAGGCGGCTGGCCGGGCCCATCGTTGTGGGTGCTGCTGCACTGGCAGACCCGAGGTATGGCTTGTTCCCACAGGTGGCCTGGACCTGATTGAGCGGCTTCTCCAGGACCCAAAGCTGTCCCAGAACAAGCTGGCCAAGGAGGGGCTGGGGGACATGAAGCTGCTGTTTGAGTACTTGACGCTGTTTGGCATCACAGGGAAGGTGAGGAGGTGCAGAGGCAGGAGGGGGTGCTGCCCTCGTGGCTGGGCAGTGTGGGCCCCCCGAGCGCACCCAGAGACGGGGCTTCCCTTGTGTCCTACAGGTCTCTTTCGACCTGAGCCTGGCGCGGGGCCTGGACTATTACACAGGGGTGATCTTTGAGGCTGTGCTGCTACAGCAGGAGAACGACCATGTGGAGGAGCCTGTCAGCGTTGGGAGTGTGGCTGGGGGCGGGCGCTATGATGGGGTGGGGGGGGTGTTTGGGGGATGTTTGATCCCAAGGGACGGAAGGGGCCCTGCGTGGGGGTCAGCATTGGGATTGAGCGGATCTTCTCCATCCTAGAGCAGAGAGTGGAGGTAGGTGCCTTAGGTGCTCAAGTAAGCATGGAGAAAGAGCAAGGATTTACATCTTCCCCACATACCCCCAGTCCAGCAGATGCTGAAGTGAGTCTTCCTTGCTGTAGTCTTTGATGGAGAAGCCAGCCAGGCCTCTACTGTGCTCTGCAGCAGGAGTCAGAACCAGGACATAATCTCCAATTTTCTCTGGCTTGGCAGATTATCTCTGGGGCGCTCCCACTGGAGACAAGGCCCCTCTTCCAGCAGTTTTCAGATGTGGCTTGTTCAGCTCTCACAGCTGGAGAGGGGCACACTAATCCTCAGCAGTACCAGGTACACAGGTTAGTGTTCCCCACTGTGTTAGTTACCCCTGTGACCCCAAGTCCTCCCTGGCAAGGCAGCACTGCTGTGCAAGGCTGCACAGGGAGACAGCAGCCTTGCACATTTACTCGTCCTGCCCAAGGCACTACAGAGACACAACAGGGATTGTATGTCCTGGGGCAGGGAGCGCAGTGCCTCTGTGGGCTTCCCAGATGCCTTTTTCCTATCCCCTCCTCCTCAGAGTTGCTGTACCAATCAATGGGTGTTAAATAGGCCTTTGTAGGTCCCAAAACACTGCCATGCATTTCCCTCTCCCAGAGCCCTGTTGTGGGGAGTTCTCACTTGGCAGCCAGACACAGCTGGGTTTTCTAAGTGTAAACTGAATTCTTCCCCCACCACCTCCAGTCCTAGACAGATTTGTTCCTCTGCAGGTGACCTTTTAAAGGCTTCTCCCTTCAGCAAAAGCAGCAGCAGGAAAATGCTGCTTTGAGTATCCAGCATCTGCTGCGGGAGCAGGTGGCTTCTGATAGCACTGGAGCATCTCACCTTGCTGCTGTTAATCTAACCTGTAGTTACCACCTCAGCTGTAGAGCAGGCAGCTGCCTCTGTCCAGTTTCTACCAGACTTGCTGTTCAGAGCACGTCTCTAGGAGGCCCTTGGGCGTGGAAGAAGAGTCTCTAGGCAGAAGCTGGCTGGGAAATTTCTCATTCTCAGCACATCCTCCAGTCTGTACGTGCCTGCAGCGCAGGAGGGAGGGTCTGTTAAGGCCCCCATCATGGAACAACCGCAGAAGATGAGATTCTGCTCCAGGATGGGGTATATGGGGCCTGCCTGACTCCTGAGTTTATGCTGCTCATCCCACTGAGCCTGATCCTCTTCACCTCCCATCCTGCTCATAGGGTCTCAGATATCTCTATATGTCCATGGAATCTTTTGAGTCTTGTCCCCTCTCTAGGCTTCTGAGGAAAAGATCAGGACAACAGAGACACAGGTGCTGGTGGCCTCTGCCCAAAAGAAGCTCCTTGAAGAGCGGCTGAAGCTCATCTCTGAGTTGTGGGATGCTGGAATCAAGGTATGACCAGGTTGATGGCAAAGTCAGGAGCTGCCTGGTCCACTCTCTGTGCCAGGAATGGACCAGATCTGGCTTTGCTTTGGGAGGAAGGAGTCATAGAGAGAAGATGGGCAGCAGATTGCCTTCCTTAATGGAGCCTGTCTCTTCTCAGTGTTCTGCATCGGATGTTCTCCAGGAGGGGCTGGGCAGCATGACTTGGTTAGCCTTATAACACTGCAGGGGCTGCTCTGTGTCTGTTATCTCAGGACAGATTTCTAAAGCTGGCAATGCTCCAGCCCCTGCTCTGTGGCAGCTGGGATACCCATGCTGCTTCCAACAAAAAGCAAAAAAACCCAGAGAGCCTTACAAGGGGAAACTGGGACCAGGGAGGAGCCTGGGCTGTTTTCTGCAGGCTGAAGGCAAAGCTGTGTGGCAGGGCCCTGCTCCCTGCCTGCTCCAGGCAGACTCCCTTTATGGCTGAGTGGAGGAGAATGCCTGGGTGTCCTGCTGGGCTCTTGACCCTGTAGGGACACCACAGGTGTCAGCCCTGGTCTGATCTGGACTAGAGCTAATGACCTGGTGCCTTCCCAGGATAAGCAGTGTCTTGTGAGTACCTTTGGGCTGTGTTGTGTTACTCGTTAGCTGTAATGCCCAACCTTCTCCATTAGCCCATCTTCTTGCCCACCACACACCCCCACGGTCACCAGATGGCAATTAGCAGGCTGGCCCAGCAATGCCTGGTTGAGGGGGTGCAGAGAGACAGGCCAGTGCTGCTGATGGTGGTGTGCTCTGGTTCTCTTCCAGGCAGAAGTGCTGTACAAGAAGAACCCTAAGCTGCTGAGTCAGCTGCAGTACTGCGAGGAAACGGGCATCCCTCTTGTTGCTATTGTGGGTGAGCAGGAGCTCAAGGATGGAGTTGTCAAGCTGCGGGTTGTGGCAACCAGGGAGGAGGTGAGGCCTGTGGTAGCCTGGCGTGAGGGGGATGGCTACTTGACCCTTCATCCCAGCTCAGGCTAGCCCTCCAGACCCATTTGTACCCTGCTCTGTAGCAGTGCTGTCAGGTTGTACATGGCAAGGTGGCTTTGCTGGCCCACATTTTGAGTGTAGTGCCCAAAAGGGAGATCAGAGGAGTAAGGCACTTCCACCTTATGTGAAAAGCCTCCAAGGCTTAACAAAGCTGGTTATGCAGAAGGTGCGGTGAAGGGAAGGCTCTCCACATGCAGTAGGGGTGCGAGCCAGGGCTCTCAGACTGGAGGCGAGGTTTGTGGACTGATGGCAGTGGCCCTGTGGGTGCACTTTTGCAGATTCAGTGAGACAACTTTCCTCAGTCCCTCTTGACTTGCTGTGGAGCATGTACCCTGGTGTCAGTTTGCCACCAAGCCCCCTATAACAGGCTCTCAGAATTTCATACATTGGCTTCCTCATTAGAGCTTTCCAAGCAGTAGTCTCTCCAGGGACTTCTGTAACACCTCACATTCCAGTTCCTCAGCCCATGCAGTTTCCTGGAGCCAGGTCTCCAGGTCTGCGGAGTTTCCCATCATGCAGCCTCCTTGAACTCCCAGCTATTCCTCAGTTCAGGAGCCTGGAACATGGCGGGGCGATTTGGTGGGCTGTATGGCTGCTCACACTTTCAATCTGGGGCATGGGACCATCGCTGCAGGTCCTGGAGGTGCCCTTTTGGAGTGAGTGGGACCAGTGCTGATCTATGCACTGGTCTTGCCTTTGGAACCAGTAGGAAAGTGGGAAGAACATCACTCCTGCTATCGTTGGGCAGGAGAGGGCTTGGCAGGGTTGCAGGCAGGTGCTTGCTCTCACAGATTGAGCTCTGCATGTGCTGCAGCCCGCTTGATCCCTGTAGTGGACTAGTGACAGCACCACAGTGTGATCTCCCCCGACCCAGGGCCACGCATGTGGTGCAGGCCATCCCTCTGGGACCAGAGAAGGTAACAGTATGTCAAGCTGCTTGTGTTGTATTGAAGCAACTTTGTCCTCCCCTGTGTAGGTCAACGTTCGCAGGGAGAGCCTGGTTGAGGAGATCAGGATGCGAACAAGCCGGCCTTGAACCTGTTCTGGACATGTCTACTCGTTTGTTGGATTCTGGCTGACAGATTTCGTCCTGTAAATGCCTTCGCCAGGCCACATAGCAGCAGGTGTGGGGTCGGGGGGGACCTTTGAAAGCTGTATTTATTCTTGTCTCGTACTCTCCCTTTGCTGGTGGGAGCAGAGAGGCTGCACCAGCTCCTACGACATGCCCTGGACTTCCAGTATGTTGCTGGGAAGATGTTTTGCAAGTGGCTCTGGCAAGTGCCGGTGTCACTGCAGTGATGCGTGGAGCCCCGTGCTGTCAGCCGGCCCCGGGGTCCTGGTGGCAGCTTCTTGTTCCTATCGCTTTGAATAAACGTCTTGCCCCATCTCTCTGCTCTGGCTGCAGGGAGGTGACCTTAACCCAAGCAAAATGTAAAGGCTCTGCTTCCAGACACAGAATAAATCTGTCTGTCCCACTCTGTGACTCCTGCCCCTGCTTCCCCCTCGGGGCAGGGATTTCCTT